ATCGTCATCGTAGCAGTAGTAGGAATCATTGCATCATGTGCACCCACAGGAGGGGAAAAAAGCCGATAGGACTGGTAGTTATCAATAGTCAACGAGAGTACGGATGCACGGCATCTGCGGTGCACGAGTTGGTTCAAGCCGAAAAGAGCGAGAGAACGAGACAGACAGAGAGAGAGAGAGAGAGAGACATATGTAATATGGGGGCCTTAATAATTAGAATAGGGTTCGGTGCCCCTGTATCGTCTCATTTTATAAGGAACCATAAGGAATAATATCGGTAATTATTTAGGCTTCTACATTAGCGAGAGAAAAACAGAGGGAGGCGAGCAAGCGGATCTGTCGAAGGTGCGAGGCACCAAAGCGAACTGGAGAGTTTAGGCTTTGCAAGGGCTGGAGCCGAGATGAAGAACTTAAGAACGAAACGAAGCTATCAAAATCATTGTGAAAGCAGAATGACACTGCAGAGGGAATCGTGTCTGCAATAAACAGTAATCGGCCATGAATCTAGTACAAAAACAATAACTACTACTCCTGCTGCGCGCTTACTACTAATACGACGAAGACGACTACCAGACGACAACGACGACCACGACGACGATGACGACGACGACGACGACTACTACTACTACAGTACTACTGCCACTACTGCTGCGAAATTATTGCTACTGGCATTCGTGCTTGCCAGTGGCTGCAGACACCAGCAGAAGGACGACAGCATCTAAGCGGCGCCAACGAAAATGTAGTAACAGCACGAATCAGCATGAAACTAATGACTGACTAGCTACGCTCTCAAGTACTCCAGAGACAGAAGCACCCTAAACCCTAAACCCCTAAACCCTAAACCTAGCATGTGAACTAAAATTCACTTCCGCCTTCGGCGCAACGACACTCGCTTGAAGACTGGGACCCGCTCTCCTGCAGCAGGCTCTTGCAGCGGTGTTGCTGAGACGGTTTAGGGATTAGGGCTTGGGGTTTAGGGTTTAGGGTTTAGGAACCTAAACCCTTGGCACAAAGTCGGGTTTTCTGGTTTCGTACAGGCAGGGAAACCTCACCATAATTTAGTCGCAAACTCCCCGGACGTCTACAACTTCAGGATATCAGAAACAGTCACAGTACTAGCCATGAAAACGTTGATTACAATGGCGATACGGCGATACTCATTCTGGCAGCATGAACCATCGTTGTCATCGCAATCGAGAAATCAGGTTGAACAACTAATCATACTACTAGTAACAAAAATCGCCTCCATCATGCACACAAGCCCTAGAGTTCGAGCGAACCAAATCGCATGCCACCTTGCATGGCTGAGACCTCGGAAAAAAAAAACAAAAAAAACGAGTTTCGGACTAGACCCAAAAGAGTCGTTCAAGCGTATTCCCCAGAGAACACCACCCCCCTCCTTCAGGAAAAGAGTACAATAAGACATAAGACTCACAATACATATATTAATTAAAAGAATAACACGAAGCAGAACAAAATGCATAAGAAAAAAAACTCAGCGAAGCCCCGGTGGTGAGGCTGACTATCTGCATGTGATGTGTGATATTTGACCAATAGTAGAATCTGCATATTTGGGAACCCTCGTTTGGGAACTCTATACTAGACCCCCATACGAACCCCAAACCCTGAACCCCCTAAACCCTAAACCAAACCCAAACCAGGAACCCTGAACCCCAAACCACGTCTCCTCTGTCTCTTGGTTTAGTCCGCACCTCGGCTGGCAGTTCGGAAGGTTGCAGGGCCTTAAGCATTTAGAATGGGGTTGGGGGGGGGGGGGGGTAAATTATAATATAGTTAGAATAAGGAACCCCCAAAATCAGTATGGGTAATCATTAAGGCCCGTATTTTAGAGGGCTGGAGCAGGGATGTACTGGGCTCTAGCTCTTGTCAAAGCTTTATAAGGGTTTGGCAGGCGTCAGAAGTCTTAGGACACCTTCGTATGGGTAGTTCTCGAAATTAGGATCCCTGGTGGCGTCCTTTTTAGAAGAAGGCCGTACCATCTTGACCCTAGTGTAGAGAACTATCCATGTGCAAGCAAACCCTTGACGGTACTTGGCTAAAGCCGTCTAGCCTTAGCTCTGCAACTGTGTTAAGAAGCCTATACCCCAAAACTTAACCTAAACCGAGACCGCAAACCAACATCTGCAAAACGAAACACATCAGCCGAAACCGTACAGTGTAAGACTAAACCCCTTAACCCTAAACACCTAAACCCTAAAACCCTATATGAACCCTAAAACCCTAAAACCCTGAAACCCTAAACCCTAAAACTCTAAAACCCTAAAACCCTAAAGGCCATAAACCCTAAACCCCGAAAAAAAGGCTCAAGCCATCCCAGGCGCAAGGAGCAAACGCTGGCGCCGGTGGTGTTCATGTAGGTCCCCTTCGGACATTTCTTGCAAGCCTCCCGCGGCTTGTGCTGCGACTCTGAGATTGCAGGCCCTTGAAGGGTTTAGGGTTTAGGGTAGCCGTGATCTTCGAAAAATCTTCCGGGTACTGAAACCACTCTTGCTCTGCTGCAGCTGCTCCCCTAGAAGCCCCAGCAAACTCGGGGAACCCCTAAACCCTAAACCCCAAACCCTAAATCCTATACCCTAAAC